CAGAATGCGACCAATCCTGTACCAAAATGTAACAACTCATGTTCAAAATGCGACCAATCCTGTACTACAATGTAAACATTTCTGTTCAAAATGCTCCCAATCTTGCACTAAAATGTAACCATTCCTGCTCAAAATGCGACCAGTCCTTTACCAAAATGTAACCACTCGTTCAAAATGTGACCAATCCTGTATTCAAAATGTAATCACTGTTGTTCAAATGCGACCAATCTTGTATCAAAATGTAACCACCCCTGTTCAAAATGCGACCAATCTCGTACCAAAATGTAACCACCTCTGTTCAAAATGTGACCAATCCTGCACCAAAATGGAACCACTGCTGTTCAAAATTCGACCAACCTTGTATTACAATGTAACCTTTTTTGTTCAAAATGTGACTAATCCTCCACCAAAATGTTACCATTCCATTCCAAAATATGACCAAACGTATATAAAATTATCATCAATCCTGTATAAAATTATTACCTTCGCTCTATCAAAATATGATCAATCCTGTATCAAAATATGACAAATCATTTAACAAATGCGACCAATCCTGTACCAAAATGTAACCTCTCATGTTCGAAATGTATCCAATCCTGTAGCAAAATGTAACCATCTCTGTTCAAAATGCGACCAAACCTGTACCTAAATGTAACCATTCATGTTCGAAATTAGGCCAATCCTGTATCAAAATGTAACCACTGGTGTTCGTAATTTGGCCAATCCTGTACTAAAATGTAACCACTGCTGTTAAAAATTGTCTAATCCTGTACCAAAATGTAACCACTCATGTTCGGAATGTGGCCAATCCGGTACCAAAATGTAACCAGTCATGTTCGAATGTGGCCAATCCTGTACCAAAATGTAATCATTCCTGTTCGAAATGCGGCCAATCTTGTACCAAAATGTAACCATTCCTCTAAAAATTTTGCCAATCCTGTACCAAAATGTAACCACTGCTGTTCAAAATTTGACCAATCCTGTACCAAAATGTAACCATTCATGTTCGAAATGTGGCCAATCCTGTACCAAAATGTAACCTTTCCTCTTCAACATTTGCCAATCTTGTACCAAAATGTAAGCACTGCTGTTCAAAATTTATCAATCCTGTACCAAAATGTAACCATTCATGTTCGAAATGCGGCCAATCCTGTACCAAAATAACCACTTATGTTCAAAATTTGGCCAATCGTTTACCAAAATGTAACAACTCATGTTCAAAATCTGCAAATCCTTACCAAAATGTAACCATTCATGTTCGAAATGTGGCCAATCCTGTACCAAAATGTAACCACTCGTATTCGAAATTTGGCCAATCCTGTACCAAAATGTAACCACTGCTGTTCAAAATTCGCTAATCCTGTACAAAAATGTAACCATTCATGTTCGAAATGTGGCCAATCCTGTACCAAAATGTAACCGCTCATGTTCGAAATGTAGCCAATCCTGTACCAAAATGTAACCACTCGTATTCGAAATTTGACCAATCCTGTACCAAAATGTAACCACCGCTGTTCAAAATTCGCTAATCCTGTACAAAAATGTAACCATTCATGTTCGAAATGTGGCCAATCCTGTACCAAAATGTAACCGCTCATGTTCGAAATGTAGCCAATCCTGTACCAAAATGTAACCACTGCTGTTCTTAATTTGCTAATCCTTACCAAAATGTAACCACTTATGTTCGAAATGTAACCAATCCTGTACCAAAAATGTAACCACTTATGCTCGAAATGTGGCCAATCCTGTACCAAAATGTAACCATTCATGTTCGAAATGTGGCCAATCCTGTAGCAAAATGTAACCACTCATGTTCGAAATGTGGCCAATCATGTACCAAAATGTAACCATTCATGTTCGAAATGTGGACAATCCTGTACCAAAATGTAACGACTCATGTTCGAAATGTGGCCAATCCTTACCAAAATGTAACCACTGCTGTTCAAAATTTACCAATCCTTACCAAAATGTAACCACTGCCTTTCAAAATTTACCAATCCTTACCAAAATGTAACCACTGCTGTTCAAAATTTACCAATCCTTACCAAAATGTAACCACTGCTGTTCAAAATTGACCAATCCTTACCAAAATGTAACCACTGCTGTTCAAAATTTGCCAATCCTTACCAAAATAACCACTTATGTTCAAAGTTTGGACAATCCTTTACCAAAATGTAACAACTCATGTTCAAAATCTGCAAATCCTTACCAAAATGTAACCATTCATGTTCGAAATGTGGCCAATCCTGTACCAAAATGTAACCACTGCTGTTCAAAATTTACCAATCCTTACCAAAATGTAACCACTGCTGTTCAAAATTTACCAATCCTTACCAAAATGTAACCACTGCTGTTCAAAATTTGCCAATCCTTACCAAAATAACCATTTATGTTCAAAGTTTGGTCAATCCTTTACCAAAATGTAACAACTCATGTTCAAAATCTGCAAATCCTGTACAAAAATGTAACCATTCATGTTCGAAATTTGGCCAATCCTGTGCCAAAATGTAACCACTGCTGTTCAAAATGTAACCAATCATGTACCAAAATGTAACCACTTATGCTCGAAATGTGGCCAATCCTGTACCAAAAATAACCATTCATGTTCGAAATGTGGCAA